CCTCCAATAAATCTGGTCAGTAGTTTATAGACGGTATCCGTCGGCCCCTGCGGGACGTATCTTGGGTTTCCCGGCTCTTTGCATGGTGGCGACCACGTTAGAGAGCGGAGATGGGGTAGTGCATGCTTCCGAGACCACCGATAGGCTGTTGTGAAGGGAGTGAGAGATGGGGTAGGGGTGCCGACGGGGTACCGTAGCAGAGGAGGGGATACGTGCATGAAGGGACCAAAGCTCGTAGCTTTGATGGCGTCTTCTGCGTCAAATCTGATAGATGGAGGACCCCGCCTGATAGAAGTAGTGTCTATCTCCATTACTGTACATGTGGTGTGACATGATGTGCTGGCTGGCGTCCACAGCCTGGTAGACAACAATGACAAATAGTAAGGAATTGCCAAAGAAACATGTGACGCACACCCAGATGTAAAGGCAGATGAGTACATACGGAGATGTAGTGGAGAGAAAAACTAGACAGAAGGGTAATGAGAGCCCAAAGAGTGAGGCATACTTACCCTAATTCGTTCAACGTCCGTAACGTTGTCCAACCATTCTCATGTTCAAAGACTCGCACTGTAACACCTGTCAGGGCTGTCAGAAACATGTCAAATCTTTGTGTCGTGGTACCCGGAAACAGAACTAGCTGCCGTGGTACTCGTCCCCATTTGCGCATCTGACCCGGAGCAAGCACTGGGGTTGTCCTGTTCAATTGCGAGGCAACGATGCATGCAAGTTTCCTGCATCATCTAAAGTCCCTTCTTCTGGATGGCTCGGTGAAAAAGGGCCCAATAGCAGAATGATCTCAATTTTTCGCTGGCTAGGAGTGGTTCATTGCTTCGTGCGATCCGTATGGGTTTCCAGGTTGGTGGAGCGACTATCGCTCGGGCACTATGCTAGCTTTCCCACTGCTTCCAGATCGTCAGATAATCCAAAAGGGTTGTCTAGAATATCACAATGTAGAGAGAAACTGGTATCGATAGCGGATACCTATCTCGGCAGTCGCACGTCGTGAGGAGTGGGGCAATGCCGTTCTTGTCGCACCACTGTCAATGAACTGCGCCCTGTTGAACCATTGCACTAACGTTGAGCAAAAAAAGCAAGTAAATTGGTATGGTTATCCATACATGCCTTTGCTAGTTTTATTGAACGTGCATCTGCTGCTCGAGTGTCGTCTTATGCCGTCCTACCATGTGAGAAGCGCCACAAAGCTTGATTGCATCACCGCAGCTGTCAGTCAGAACCTCTTCTGGAGCACAGAACATTTTCTCGACCGTGAGTTGCTCCGAAAACCTTTCGCAAGACGTTGTGTGCCTGATCGTCGTTACTTGTGACGCTTAGCAGTGGTCGTTCTTGAAATCTCAACCGGACGAGGTGCCTTTTTATGGAAACAATGCGGAGGTCATCTCTGCATACTTCTAGTCCTAACACGAAGGCACTACTGATCGCGGCCTCTAGATCATCTTGTTGGAAGCGCAGAAAGAGGCGAATTCAGGGCTTGGTAGTACGGCAACCATTTGGTGGGGCAGAAAGTCGATTGCACTCAGTGCTTCCGCGTCGTAAGGTTGCGTGAGACACGTCTTAACGCGTCACCCGTCGGGCACGAGGGAGGGAGATTTTGACAACTTGGTTGCACCATTCGCCATATCAAAAGAGGCTGTGCGGTGTTCGAATCGGACGAATGCAATTGCTCTGAAATGCCATGAGCAGGTCTTCTGTGCGTGCTGGAATGGTGTGGCACAATCGTGAGAAAACTTTGGCTGGATAGAGAACGCTTAGGTAGCCAGTGCCTCATAGCTTTGACTCAATGCCTGTAAGAAGCAGGATCAGAATTCATGCTGCGAGAGCGGCGTGATGACAATTTATCATTAGAGTACCACTCGTTGTGTAAGATAGCGATGTAGAAACGATTGAATCTAGACGCCGGGGGCGTATGCAGTGCTTTAAAACGTAAGTTAGCACTCCCTCGGTGCATAACTCGCTGCCGTTTGGTCGCAGTGTTTTTTTTTTTTTTTGCTTAATCCCAAAGAGGTACTACTGCCGACGTCTTCATTGAAGATGTAGGTGTGTTACGACGCTACATGTCGTGCTGAATGGCCACGCAATTGGATACGGTCCACTTGCGCTTGTAGTGTCGAACTATCCTATTGCTGATATTTGTGATCTTTCTCGTCCCCCTATTGCTTGGAAAACCAGTGAAGAGCTTGTTCGTAGGACATCTCTGGCAGTTGTGTTTGTCAGACATTGATCGAATATCGGATACCTGATCCGCCAGGCCACGCGTACGGCAAAAAAGATAGCGAGGTAACTAGCAACTCCTTTACGGTATTGTCTCAAAGTAAGCACTCTTGAATGTCGGCCCAGCGACGAGATTGCGGCTTGCGCCCACTCTGGTATCTGCCAAGGTCAAGGTATCTCGTTGCCTGTGTCATTCATGCACAATGATCACACTCAGAGGCCGCTCGAGCACGGTATCGTTTTACCTGGGATCCTGTGAACAAAGGTCTTGAACCCAGAATTGAGTGCCCGCTGAAACAACAAGACAGCCATGGAGCCTCCGTAGCTGATCTTTGCCGCTCAACTCGATCCTGAGCTCACAATTCAGCGATAACTTGCTGGCTAATCCCGGGTGGTTGAGCCATCTGTCATCCCACTGTGACGGCTTCTGTGCAACCAGCGGAAGCGGAGAGACTCTGCGCATATGCACGATGATCGACAACGAGTGCGCGTCTCCTCCCCTACCTGGTCGCCGTACGAGTGACCCGGAGTCCCAGAATGCAGTGAGACCTGAGCCAATTGAAGCTGTGGCGTCGAGAGTCTGCTCACGATCTCACGGAGGCGCTCTGCTTTGACCGGAAGGCAGTATGAGTTGTTCGAATCTCCCACCGCCGGCTGCGCGCAGTGACAGCGGGACAGGCAGTGAGTATCCAGGCAACCTCGCTTGACGGCATCATTTCGCCAGTGGAAGAGCGTCAAAAGTAAAGAATAGTCCTGGAAGACCTCTTGATCAAGCGATGGTCACGGTTGGCCACATGAAAAGCTGCAGCTTGGCTTTTTCTGTCTTTGAGCGGTCTGCGCTGAGACATAAACACCGCCTCTCTTCATGAGAAGACCTGCAAACCTTGCAACCCATACTGGGACGGATAGGGCAAGCACTTTTGGTCAATGATGTCCAGCGACGCGCATGTTAGGTCGGGGTTCGCTCTCGATATCTTTGCCTGGGGGATAGGTGAAGGGGCTTGCATTAGAGTGCGCCATGTCTCACTACCGAGAGATTATTGTGATCAATCCGAGAATACTTATCAGAATACCAACTTTGAATGAAAGTTTGGTCGCGATTGCAGGGGCAAGCGAGCAGGGCCTAGGTTGAACATCTCGAGTATCGCCAGCGGGAACAAGGCTGAAAGCACTTGTCAAAGGTGTAAACCAATAGAGTTCTTTGAGAACATCGCAATTGCGCAGATGTTCCGAGATGCGTGAGAAATTGGGCCACGTTTGCAACGAGAGGACAGAGACCGTGCACTTGTACTCCTGCGGAAAGCTGCAGGTAAACATTACAACGATTCGTTCTTTCATGCCATACTGACAAGGAGGACGCAGTAGACCTGGAATCCTGTGAAGGACCGAACACAGCTAATTTGAGTTTGGTGATGCCACTCATGTGTAATAGAAAATGGACCTGCAATGTGGTGGTGCAATCGTCGAATAGCCTCAGCAGTGGACGCCGATATCGAAAACATGGACACTATTCGTTTTCAGTCCACCGTATCCGTTGAAGGGCATGTGTAGGCGTTGCTGGGAAAGGTGAGATGCCGCAGCTCTCACTCAGAGCACCAGTGATTGGTGAGTCGCGGCAGTGCTGTCAGCTCGCACGTTCCCCCAGGCCCACTGGAAATGTTTTGGTTGACATCGACCCATATACCGTTTGAACAAAGGAAATAGATATAAATCCTAGTCTAGATGCAGGGTTCAGGGCGGGAGCGGTGTTTGACGCCGTACGACACAATACCCTCGATCCATCCTTCACCATCTCCTTGTCCATACCCCAGCACTTGCTTTCGGTAACGATCGTTTGATCCTATTAGTGGGTCCGCCACTGCGTACCCCGACAAGCCATGTAGTGTGCATCTGAGGCTAAAGCACGTCCACTTACACACCGGACGTCATCTGCAAGGCGCTTGGACAAGCTTTGGCGACGCACTTCGCCAAAGGTGAGCAGCTAGCGGGCCGAAGTGAAGGTAGAGTTGACCCGTTAAAGGAAGTGTGTACAGCACAAGTACCTTCTCCTACGCTTCCGTCCCTCCCTGGTGATCTTATCCGAAAGCTCTCCAAAAAGCATAGTCAGGCCCAGATTTCGACTCTTTGGTAAGAACTGCATCCTATTCTGCCTGACACGACTCATGCGATTGTTCCTCCTTGAGTTCTGCTGACTTGGCGCCTCAAAGTGATTGACCGACTTGTACTGTTGCGATAGCCGAGCGAGGGTATCCGTTGGACACCGCACGAGACCCAGCTATTCGCCACGGGACGACGACGTTTGTTGGAAAAAGCCACTGCGGTATTAAGTCATTACCAGCGTGTAGCGCACGTCTCTTCACCGTCAACTCTATCAGCGTGTTGTCAACCAAGTACTGACCTCAACACGGTACGTACGTTGCGTAGGCTACCAGTTCCATCTGATGTAGGGTGCTAATCGCGTGAAGGCCGGTTGCTAGAGCTTCGTGTTATCCGGATCACGTCCTCAGTAGCCAGTAGTATAGAGTGATCATCGCGTCCTCGTGAGCATTTCGCAAACGAACTGGACGTCGGCCTCTTCTTCCCGTCACTGCCACCAAACACCCCTCTACTCCAAATCGCTGCTTCGTTCCACAGCAGCTTAGCCTTGCTTGTCAACCTGGTCTCTGCGTCTTCAAGTCCACTGTCCCTGTCAAATACTGGTACCTTACGACAAGTACCTGTACCAACAGTCTTCGTTCCGCGTACTAGAAAGTTCTTGTGTCATCCACACCATGAAGATATCGCACTTGTTGAACCCATTCTGCGGTGGCCCGGACGACTTCCGCAGTTCAAAATCGCCCACGCCAGCCTGCTATCCGGTAACAACAATTGAAGTGCCTAGGCGACAGAAGATTCCGAAAGACGCTCCGATCTTCTCAGAAGGCAATAGGACCGTCGACAACGTCAACTTCCCACCCTACGAAGCCGGTGATGACCAGGAGCTTTTACAACAGCATCGCCGATTTCAAATCTACCCTCTTGGAGAGATCTTCAGGAAGGGTGTACGGCACATCCCATACAATAGCGACAAAAAGGCTTTCCACGAGAAAACTGGGCGCGAGGCGTTCGAGAGTGAGCCTCGTCTGACTTTATCAAGGCTCGAATCTGACTTGTGAACAGTGTTTCAGTATACGTACAAAAGACCCAATGAAGACAAGGAGTACGTCGTGGTCTGGGACTACAACGTCGGTCTCGTCCGTATGACACCCTTCTTCAAATCGTTGAAGTACTCCAAGGTAAGCAGTCGGTCTCCGTTATGGATACATACAAGGCTAATGTCTCCAGACGGTACCGGCGAAAGCGCTGAGAGAAAACCCCGGTTTGAAAGACATTAGCTACAGTATCACCGGCGGTGCTCTGGTGTGTCAAGGTTCGTTATGATACTCTGATCAATGAGCGGAGAAGTACTGACCCACTGTAGGTTATTGGATTCCCTATCACGCCGCCAGAGCTGTAGCTGCGACCTTCTGCTACGACATCCGATGGGCACTCACCCCTGTATTCGGGAACGACTTCCCTTCCATATGTCTGCACCCAAGCGATGCATGCTTCGCGAAGTTCCTCATCGATCCAGCCACTGTCCGGTTTTGCGCACAGGAGACAGTTCGTTTCAAAGAGCTTGGTCCTGCATACACATTGTGCAAATTCGATGCCTCATCGCTGCCCGAGACACACAAGACGCACTGTGGGCGTTCCTCGATGAATGAGCAAGTTGCAAGGCATCGGCGCGTGCGACCGTCCGATATTGAGAGCGGATATGGGACGGACACTGATCGGACTGGCAAGTATCTTTGTTCGCCCGAAGTATCTCCTCGAACCCAGTTCACGCCGATCAACCGGTCCCAATCCCCATACTCGCCGCGCACAGCCGTCTCTTCGCTCGCGGGCTCTCCCATTAGCCTGAACGCGCCTCCAGGTCTGCTCACCCCAACCTCGGCTCCTTGTGAGTACCAGGGTGGATTCTATCGAACGAAACGTACGCATTCGAACGTCGCTTCTTACGATGACTGCGGTGACGAAGCCCTCATCCGCCTCGAAACAACGGCAACTGTCGACAGCGCACATGGCTCCGAAGTGGACATGTCCGGCGGCGATGACAATCATACACACGGAGATCTTGAAGCGGCGGCGATGTTGTTGTCGCTATCAGGAACAGGGACGACGATGCCACCGACAAAGCGAACGCGTCGTGGTTCGTGGATTTAGGGAAGCGCTGATTCTCACCTTCCTCACAAGATCGTTGGCTCAAGTACTGCCAGTGATCCTTTCCTTTTCCGTCAGCCGATGACGTCTCCTAGCCCTTTTTGTCCTCTAGGCTTCGTGCTCCAACCCCATGGATTCCACCTCTGAACTTCCGACTAGTACTTTGATTTTCTAGAACTCATCGTCTGCACACTCGTTAAGCAACATGCATTTGGTCTGGCTTGTTTCTTTCATGTGTACAAAGGCGTACTATAGGCGCTTCGGTGTCGCTGTTTGGCATTACTTCATGTTAGCGTTTATGATATCCACTCGGAAGAAAAACCATCGCATAAGATCAGCAACTTTGCACACCCGGTGCTGAGCGGCCTGGCACATATTGTACTCAAAAGTGTAGATAGGTAGATAGATGTATCCTGGTGAGCGGATTACAACCTTATCATGGTCATCGCATGCCGTATTGTAGTGATACAGTGAGAGCTCACTTGGAAGCTGCCTTCTGGCTCTCAATCCTTTTTCGTGTACCATCGATAACTGCCTCCTCGTCCCAGATGTACGTCACACTATCCTGCTTGACGACTTCAGCGGCCCATTTCGAGAAGTTGGGCAGTGCGTCAAGGCCGGATGTGATAGACTTTGGGAGAAGTTCGTTCTTGGCCATGGCATATGTTCGGATGATGAATGGTGCTGTCAGTGCCTGCAGTATGTCAGCTTCGCTCGTGGTTAAGATGACACAAGATTGTACCTCAGCCAACGTGACCTTCTGACTTCCACCAAAGAATGGCTTCGCGTCTTTCAAGAGCGGCTCAATCTCCTTGCCTACAACGTCCACAAATTCCTGGCTCAACTTCGCTTTCTCATCTTCAGAACCCGACATCAAAATCTTGTAGAAGTAGCTGCCCGCCTTGCTAAACCAAGTGTCAACGAAGAAGTTGATTCTTGCCCTGGTCAAGGCAGCATCTGGGGATCCTGCTGCGGGGAGGACGTGCGAAGGGTACGCATCGGCCAAAAACGTTGCAACGACACCAGATTCTGTGATGATTTCACCGTTGAAATTAATCGCAGGAACAAGACCGCGCTTTTAAAGAGTCAATGCTACTTCGACGGTTGGACAAGAGGTTGAACATACAGGGTTGATTTCAAGATACCATGGCTCTCGCGGCTTGCCCAAGTCAATGATGACTTCCTCATAAGGGAGGCCCAACTCCTTCAGCACAATGTGTGCACGATGCGCCCAAGGGCAACGATGGTTGGTGTATAGAGTGATCTTGGGCGTGTTTCCATTGAGTTGAACCATGATGGGCGATGTAGAATGGGAAAGGTGATGTCAGCGCTAGGTTATGCGGCTGAGAATATAAGTAATACGACTAGACAGAGACAGATGCTGGGTACAAAGCTTAGCTGGACAGGACTATAATGCGACCTGGGTTGTATCGCGACTATTTATGATGCTATGTCGAAGCTCGTAACTCGGCGTTGAGCTTAGAAATCAGCGTGCGGATGCATTACACCAGTATGCTGGGGGATGCCGACATGTGGGGTAAGTGATCCGCGTTCCGTGGAAATTGCGCGCCTAATCCCCGGAGGTTTTCGCCCGTATTCCCAGTCCATGTGAGATCAGATGCTTTATGTGGGAAATCTGGCATTTGACAACGCTGAAGCTCGATGACGAGCTGTACAGGAAGTCTGTAAAAAGCAGAAAATGCGTGGCGGTGTTCGCCCCTCCCATAGGGAATGTGCATGCTCCTTCTCGTAGGCTCGGACTCCGAGCCTCGGAGGACGAAAGACTTGATGTCCAGAGATAGCAGCCAGATGCAGGCTTGAGGAAGACCGCCATATGCTCGTCCGTCCGTCGGCCAATGTGCGATAGCCCAGGATTGTTTTGTCCCGCCGAGACCATATTGTGTAGTATGGACCTGCTCAATGTCACCCACCATTCAGCGGATAATGCCGTCGCCTTCGACCTTCCACTCCATGGCATTGGCGTCTGTCTTCTTCTTCGCCCGGCGCTTCTCATTGCGCAACCGCCTCTTCTCCTCGGCATCCTTTTCCATCTGCTCCTTGGTCATGGCCAGTCTCGCATCTAGGTCCGTCACCTCCATAAACTTGTCCTCGTCCCGTTTTCGCTTGAGATATCGTAGGCGATCGCGTACTTCCTGGACTGTAGCGCGGTGTACTTCGCCCGACTGGCCCGTCGCGACCAAATGCTGCTTGCTATTCAAATGTTCGACGTACTGAATGTTATCCCTGGTAGCGGTTAGCGTAGTCTAGAGACTTGTGACGGTGAATACATACTTGAATGTAAGGTCACAGGCTTGACAGTATGCGCCCGCACCGCGTCCCCTCTTGCCAACGGCTGCCGCTGCCGATGTGAGGGTCTGCTTTCCAATCATCTTGCTCCAATCTATGCGCTCTGACCTGGCCTCGGTCTGCTTCAGATCGTCGGGCGTAGACGCCCTCCGCCTGTATGTCTTGCCAGCCAGTTTCGCTTCATATCGCTCTTTCCCTTCCTCGCGGTCCTTTGCCTCCCTATCCTTCGCCCTTTGCGCCATCTCGTCTCGGTCCCATGTTTTCCTGAAGTCTGTGTCGCCGCCGCCTTTTGTTCCATATGCGCCTGCCTTTCCGCTCATGATGGGCGAGTGTATCGAGTACGCGCTTCGCGATCGCGTCCAGGTATGATCTAGTTGTTGAGAATTATATAAGTCGCGTGGCGCTGGGTGAAGCTCGGGTGACAAAAGTTGCTGATGTTGTGTCTTGCGTTTTCTACAAGCTCAAGCTTCGACTTTCCAAGCCATAAGTGCACGGACTCAGTGGAGCCTTAGGCATCTTCACCCAACGCGACGTGCGCACGAGGAACTCTTCATCTCTGATTGTATTGAAGTCATCTATGAAGTTGAATTCGCTGCTGAGGGCAGATGGTGATGTTACTCAGTGAAATAAAACCCCTTTGAACGAATACACCTCGCTATGCGTAATTTCATTTGCGCTTATAGTAGTCGCATACCCAGTGAACGAGACCAAGAAAAGAAGCGCCAGTACATGCTATAGTTTGTGGATACTATCCAACAATGCGTCGTTGCTTCGTAGGCCATTCGATGGCTGGTAATAAAGGAAAGAGCTCGTCTTGCTCAATTGTAAGATATCCCTAAGGGGCACGCAGTTGCTTTCGTGTCCAAGCCGTAATGAGGAAGTTTGTGTACACCTTTAGGGTAGACCTCCTGAGAGACGACCTCCTTTATAGTCCTTGGTACGTGTGGGCGGTTGTGATTAGATCTTATGATAAGGGCATCGGCTACACAATCTTGGCCCAGTCAGAAATCGTAAGATTCTGGCGGTCGAGGATAGGCCCCGTTATGATGAATCGGTGGGGTTGGTACAGGAGGCATCTGTCCACGCATCACTCTGAGTGCCATATGCATCTGAGGCTGCTGCGGTACTGATCCCTCTCTCTCCGCTCGGTCCCGCCGCTTTTTCTTTTTCTCTTTGACCCGATATCCTATATCCGCGTAGCCTGCCGCGGCGAATGGCGGCTCAACGACTTCTCGAGAGCGATCGTCCGGTAGTCTGAGGTCGACAAGGCTATAGAAATAGTCGAGGACTTCTGGGTATCGTAGTACGGATGCGCGCCAGTCGGCATCAATACCGCGCTTGAGTTCTGCATGCGCTTCTGCAATCTGTGTTTGCAACGTCGAGATATACATTGGGTGAAGTGGGGGATGGCCCGAGTATCGCATGTAGACTTCGTAGTTTGGGAGGGAGGCTAGGTATGATGAATGCGCTTGCTTGCGTATCGAGGTCAATCTTTCGAATGCGTTGAGGATGTGCTGGCGAGCATGGTTGATTACCCAGTCCCTAGACAGTCAGCATTTATCGTAAAGAGCGCATCTTCCCCATACCGTATCTCGGCCAGCCTCTCGTCCATGGCACGCTGTTCGGCCTGCTTGACGGCGATTTGCAGCCGCTCCGACTCGCAGGAGCATTCAGGATACGGCGGCGCATTGCAGATGGCACAGTTTGGAGATGCATCCATTTCGAGGGTGAAGGCTTGGAGAGCCAGTGCTAATCATCGTCGGTCCAGAGTGGGACAGACACGGTTGGGAAGCTGCCTCAAGACTCGCTATGCAGGCAGAGTGAGGCTTCGATGTGGAGTATCGTCGGTTTAATACAAGCCCAAGACGGATGCTCGCGCTTGGGTAGTCAGGCACAGGCGGTGACAAGTGACATGTTACATGACGAGCACTGTGGAGGCCCGTGACTGGGACTGGCTAGTTTCGTGCGGCTTATGGACGGATTGATGTATGGAACAGACTTGCGGATGCGTTATGAGTTGGCAGAATCGCTAAGATCCGCTCGACACCCAACCTCGCGCTACGCCAAGGTTGTTTACATCTGACAGTCGGTAGGCTCGATCGGAAGCTAGTGATATGTCAACTACTATGCTTCACCGTCTTATGGTCAAAAGAAACTACTTTGATCATGAGCCTGCGTGACGCATGTTAGTATTCGATCTTTACAACACGTTACCCCGCCTCGCTTCCAGCCTTGTCCGACCCCTCTATATCGATATGTCCGATTGGGTCCAGCGCAAGAGTGCTTTGAGTCCAGATCCATCATATAAAGGACGCATCAGCGGTATACATCTCAGTGTCACCTGGGACGCAACGTGTGACAGATCCATTTGATGTTTTCTATACCTCATGTATCCACTTGGGCATGGTTGACCATTCTAAGCGGATGTACATTGAGCAGCGCTGTCTACAAAAACAAGTGTTCTTGCAGCTTTCGGGCGTGTTTCCAGTAAATGTTGGCTCATGGTTGATATGTCGCGTCTCAGTCTCTCGCCGAAGGGTTCTGTTGAGCGGTCAAGCCATGGAAAAGACGAAGCTTACGAAGACATCCATCTCTATCGCAAGGTAGCAGTCTCGAACATCCGGTGTGATTCAAAGGAAGAAGAGCGCATTGGAGATGGCTCCGAGTCCGCATAGTCGTCTCTGGTGAACTTAGATAGCTGTTGCGTCCGCGGGCGCGTTCTTGACATGGTAGATTCCCTGACGTCACCTGTCCCCGTCACTACAGCTAGCGTCTTCAACATGTGAAAAGAACAAATACACACGTTTCTGCTACGCATCAAGTACTATATGTATAGCTCATGTCCACTGCGCTTCCCAACATAGCAGCTACACGCGATTGCTGGTTGGGTACGGAGCTAATCGCGCCGAAGACCCTATTCGTTCGGCTCCCGAATGTCAATTCTTCGCCGACTCTTACGACCCTCCGATGAACGGTCTCTTCCTGACCGCTAGCTGTACGCCTTGCAGACTTCCATATCCAGTGGTTGCGCTTGCCGATTTCGCATCTTTCGCAACGCCTTCCCAGCGGATTCCCCGTTGCAGTATGCATTTTCCCCGAAGGTCTGCTATCTTCTAGACCCTTTGCAGCCAATCGCAAAGCTGTCACAAGCGTCAGAGGATGACTTCCGCCAGGATCGTGCTTCGCGCAGAACCGATGTGGGGTTTATCAGCTCCGGTTTGCTGGGGCTGGGGTTCAATAGCCCCGTATGATTCGCATGTGTAATTTTCAGCTCTTGCACCCCAAGAAGTTGGCAAGGTCGAAATGCAATCGAAACGGAAACATGTCAAGTATATATTCGTGTCGACATACACTATACATGCATCACAAGCAACTGTCACCCCCAACCTCAACATCCAAAATCACCACTGCGATGCATGCTACTGACTCAGCGTTACGAGCGCGTTCTCTATCGGATGACTAGCCCGCTCTAAAAGCAAGACTGGCTAATCTGTGTTCTGCGAACGCACGGACTGCGCCCTTCAACTCGACATCCTGCAGAATGCGGTTTAGCGGCTGTAGGAAGTGTGCAGTGCTTTCTTGGGCATGGTCTAAGGTGTGAGTCTGAACCAGCAGTCGTACTTAGGATCCATCATCCCGCAACGACATCTCGCGCCTTATCGTCTAATCCGTACAGAGGGCGCGCACTTGTCTTTTAATCCTCCGAAAATCATTGATACCGACCAATACGATCTGGTCTTGCTTGTGAGATCGTGGTCCGCCATCATGGCTACTCCTAGTGCAGCCTTCGATATGGCAGACTTTGTCGATTTTGGGGAAGCAAGCATGCCCAATGTGTCACAAGAAACCGATCACAGCGTATCAGGAACCTTGCTGCAACAAAGGTGAGTTTGCCGAGCATCGTCGTACAATCTCGACTTGAAACTTGCTTGTTGCGGGTTGGCAAGGATCGTGGCTCATACTTGCCAACTCGCTTTAGTATAGTTCTAACATGTACTAGCGTTCCATCAGATGACGACTCTGGAGCTTTGGAGCAATCCAACAGTGCTCAACCTACGAGTACAGACTTCAACACAGACTTTAGCAGCTGGCTTCCACGATACCAGAAGCCTGCTCATCCATGCGAATACTGTCGATCGAGATCACTGGAGTGTTTCGTCTATAACTCCGATGGCTCAAAGCAAACCGGATGCTCCCCATGCAACGCTTTGTTCCGACCATGCAGCTTCAGCAACCCCGAGAGGATGCCAGGTATGCGGCAGAGGACTGCACTAGACACCTTAGATGTCGTGGCCGAGAACGATACGCGACACTTTGGTGGACTTACGGGCAAGAAGCAGATGCGATCGCTGGGTCATCTTGGCCCAATCGAAGATGGGAAAGAGGATGACGAAGGTCTTAAGAAGGGTGCCGCAGGTGCTCGCTTTCCTCGAGCCGCTGTCAAAGTACTGAAAGATTGGATGCTGATGCATATCGATCATCCTTATCCTACCGACGAAGAAAAGGAGGATCTGAAGCAGCAGACCGGCCTGTCGCTCAACCAAATCTCTAACTGGATGGCCAACACACGGCGAAGGCAGAAGAATCGACCCAAGCGAAGCGCATCGCCGAGCCTTCGACCTTCGACAGAGGCTATCAATATCCCAGCAGGCAAGACCTGGGAAACTTTGAGTACGTACACCGAGTCTGGGTTCACTCGCTCTCATAAAACTCTGGCGTCGACATCCACCGGAAAGTTCATGACTTTCCGGGTAGGTGAAAAGCGTCCAGGCGTTGAGCACAGAATCCCAGATACTGGCGCATCATTTCAAGTGTCAGCTCTCCAGCAAACGGAAGTTTTGGGTTAACTCGCGACAGATCCTTTTGAACGATGGAAACACTCCCCCCCTGAGAACGAACCGGCGCCACTGGAAGCTATTGCCCACGCAGTTGAAACCTTTGACCCACCAGAATCTGCGAGTCTGAGTAGCAGCTACCGTAAAGATGGCTCTAACAACAGCACTGGAAGCTTCTCAGTATTTAGAGCACCGTCTATCTCGTCTTTGGAGACTGGTCTCACGCAAATGTCTTCCGGCTCTCTTGGATCTCGCAACTCAGCTTACTCGCATGGATCACGGCACTCTCTAGGCTCCTTGAACAGTCTGAAGTCAAAGGAGAGGCGGAGGCGTCGCCGTCTCCCTACCCGAGCAGCGAAGGCTAGTCCTGATGAGGGTCAACGTATCTTCCAGTGCACGTTCTGCACTGATGCCTTCAAGTCCAAGTATGACTGGTATGTACAGCCTCCCGCCTCGTGTGAAAAAGCAGAGTTGCACAGCCCTCGGCCTGCAAGGTCATCATACCTCAGATATATCAGCGGCTTCACATACTTGCAATGTCAAATGCTAATGTTTCAAAGGTCCCGCCACGAGAAAAGCCTTCACTTGTCTCTGGAGAAGTGGTTATGTGCACCAATTGGAGAGGTTGTCGCCGACAAGGCTACCGGAAAGTCCAGATGTGTCTACTGTGACGAGCTGGATCCCAGTAAGGACCATTTGGCGGCGCACAACCACTCGGCTTGCTACGAGAAAGGCCCAGAGTCTCGAACCTTCTACAGGAAAGACCATCTTCGACAGCATCTGCGACTCATGCACGGTTGCAAGATGATCGCGAGTATGGATACATGGAAGTCCGAAGCCCAATACATCAAATCCCGTTGCGGTTTCTGCGGGATGAACTTTGACAAGTGGGAAGATCGTACCGCCCATTTGGCAAAGGAGTTCCGAAATGGCGCAAGCATGAAGAACTGGAAGGGATGCAGAGGCTTAGACCCTCATGTCGCCATCCATGTGACCAATGCTATGCCGCCGTATCTTATCGCTAACGAGAGTAAATCTCCGTTTCCCTTCTCCGCCAGCAACACCACCAGCCTCAAGGTACGTACTGCCGTAGCGAACATGCGGACCCATAGTGAGGTCAAACTCCACGCAGATCTTCGCTGAAATCTACTTTGCTAATCTTCTAACAGCAACTCAACCTGTCGGTGGAGAACAGGGATCTTGAGTATCTTCTGCCCAACTTTGATATCAACACCGCGACAAACAATATATCCACTGCATACGAGACCGGAAGTGATCCTTCAACAATTGGACCTATCGTCTTGACAACACCCAAAGATTATTCCTCCTCAGAGTCGCCAACCAACAACCCCAATGCAACTTGCTGGGAGATCCTTACACTGCAACTGGGACGCTTCGCACGAGAGTATATCGACAAGCATGGAGCAGGAACCTTGACCGACGAGATGCTACAGAAGGAATCACGTCGTATCCTGTATGACGATGACGATCCATGGAACCAGACCTCTGCCGACAACCCTGAGTGGTTGAACCTGTTTAAAAAGGCCCACGGGATCGACTCCCAAGCCCCAGTACAAAGTGAGTGTTTGAGATTATGTACGCCTGTGATGATATGTCTAACATCAAACCAGATATTAATGGAAAGCACGAGATTTTTGAAGATCTCGGTATCAACTACGGCTCTGCTGTGGACCCAAGCTTCGATGCGGACAACGTTTTCCGCTGCACTTCCATGGCCCAGGACGACCCGATGCGCGCCATCTCCTACGAATTCGCGCTGTCTGGCTCTACCAACTTCATTCAAGGACATGCACGAAACCTCTCCTCAGGTCGCGAAACACCCTACAGTATACCGGGGCTAAGTGGATCGCCTACCTCACCAGCCTCTTACGCCCCCATTACAAAGACCGCCAGTACAGACAACCTCCTGGGTGTATACGAGCCCATCTCAGAACTTTCATGCACAGCAGCAGGTAGCGCAGGTCCCTGCTTCGGCGAACATGGCGAGATTGGGTTCTCTACGAAAACTGCGGGGTCGCCGAAGAGGAGGTACTGGCTTGACGAAACGAACGCGCATATGGCGCCCTTCACAACCAGCGCAGCCGCACATCCTATCCTTGACTGCCCGACTGCTGGTGAGTCTACCGTCGACGATTTCCAATTCCCGTCCTGGGATCAGTTACCCGAGGATTTGCAAAACCCGACGAGTAGTGCAGACTATAACTCTGCCATTTCAATTGCTACTACCGGGGTCAGCATGTCGGCGGTGGAGGGCGCTGCATCGATGCCTTGGGATGATATGGATTTTGCTATGGACTTGGATATGGATGTGGATATGAATCTGAATCAAGCATGAGGCAGAGGGGGGTCTTTCGATCTTCGCTTGTAACAGTGCTTTTTGTTTCTTATTTAGAACGCCGATGGCTTATACCCAGCGTTAACGTAGTAGGCGTACATCTGGGGTAAAAGGTTTCTCTGCTTCTCGGTTCCATGCTCTATGAATCAACATGACATTAATGGCTTCACACCTAGACTTGATGTTGTTGCCCGACCATTCAATATACCATAGTGAAAGTGCACTTCAAACATACTTGTTACGCCTTTACTAAGGATTTGAAGCCTTACATGCGACGAAAACTTTTACAGGTATGTTTGGAGTACAGCGAAATTGTTTCATGTGGTAGTGAGATACAGTAAGTGAAGAACCCTCGCCGTACCTTGTTGTCACAAGATAAGACCTTGCATGCCACCAAGGCCTCCACGATTAGGTTCAAGGTACACCGTACGGAAGCAAAGTGTTGTAGCAAAGATGTTCACCATTCTTTCATATCATTTAGTTTCATTGCATGACTTCTCAGCCTGAAATGGCCCGTGTTGCCCGCGCATAACCGCTTCTCGTCTTCCATTCGTTCGACCATTTGTTAAGATGAATCAAGTAGATGTCATCTCACATATTATGTCTTGCAGCGTATCACCTCGCGTCATATGCTGTCATCTGCTTCTACTCGCGTAACTTATTGTTTGTCGTTCCACAACCACGCACCTACCCATCACTGTCCTGTACGTAGCCGTAAACACACCGCATACTCCACCTTTGTGCTCCACAACACGAAGGACACACGTTGCTTCAGATCTTTGTTGTTCGTGAGATGCGGTATGTTTTGCGAGCCTTGCTTACTTATGACTAGTCTTGACTAGATAATACGTGTTGTTTGAGTGGCGAATATATCAATATCCTAGGCATTGTGGCGGAGTGGTTATCGCGCAAGACTTGAAATCTTGTTCCTTAGGGAGCGTCAGTTCGAATCTGGCCAATGTCGTCTTTTTTGCCTGTCTATCTGCTGTGTTGTTGATTGTGAGCCATTGCTGTTTGGTTAAGGCTGTAGGATACACTTTGGTTCGGAGGCCACGTGGGATGCCTGGATCGTGACACCACAAGTTTGGGAACACACATCCCTTTGGTATCGTTCACGAACTTTTTGCGATTTGGTATACATACCATCTTTCTGACCCCCACCTACAGTTGATCCGCGCTAACTCTTTGTACGATGATACCTGATGACGCGCCACCCCCGTTGCAAATGACAGCTGCACCATACTGTCCAACCTTCAGCTGATGTAGCAGTGTAACCAGAATCCTGCTCCCGGAGCTACCCAGGGCGTGACCCAGAGCAATAGCACCACCTCTTGGGTTTACATTGTCCGTGCCGAGACCAAGGATCTTGGCATTGGCCTTGATAACGGCAGCGAAGGCCTCGTTGAACTCCCAGATAGCGATGTCGTTCTTTGAGAGACCGGATTGCTTCAGGAGTTTCTCGACGCAGGAAGCGGGGGCGACGGGAAAGTCAATGGGGTCTGAGTAGAGTCAGTAAGAGTGGATGAGTACAAGAGTCTGTGAGTACATACCAACAGCAGCATCAGCGTAGGTGACGACCTTTGCCAGTACACGGCTGTCCTTGCCGTATTGCTGTGCGATTTCCTTGCTTCCTAGTATCAATGCTGAAGCGCCATCACTGAGGGGCGAGCTGTTCGCCGCTGTGACTGTGCCATCTGGCCCCTTTTCGAAAGCTGGTTTCAGCGTGGAGACCTTGTCCAGCTTCAGCTTGTTATACTGCTCATCCTCGGAGATGACAGTCTCGCCCTTCCTCGACTTGACAGTGACTGGCACAATCTCATCTTTGAAGAGTCCATCCTTGTATGCTTGCTGTGCGCGCTTATATGTCTCGATGGCGTAGTCGTCCTGGTCCTGTCTTGAAACTTCGTACTTCTTTGCCGTGTTCTCTGCACAGTTGCCCATGTGGATCTGGTTGTAGACATCCCACAGTCCGTCAGCGATCAAGCCGTCCTGCAGCTTTTGGTGGCCGAACGCTGGTTGCTGGCTGGCCCTGTTCATATAGTATGGAACTCGTGTCATGTTCTCCATTCCTCCAGCGACCTGTGCTTCCGCTTGCCCGAGCTCGATAGTCGAGGCGGCGATGTTTACTGCCTTCAGACCCGATGCGCATACTTTGTTGATCGTAGTGGCTTCGATGTTGGTGGGCAGCCCAGCAAAGATGGCTGCTTGCCGCGCTGGTGCTTGTCCGACGCCTCCGGAGAGGACGTTGCCCATGTAGACGGCATCTATGGAGGAGATTGGGACTTTTGACTTTTCGAGGGCGGACTTGATGGCTGTGGCGCCGAGTTCGGTCGCGGATACTGTTGTGAAGTTGCCATTGAACTATGACTTAGTGAGTAGCTGAGGTAGCTTGGAATACCATATTACTGACCACTGCGGTGGGTGTTCGGCTCGCGCTTATAATGTATGCATCCCGTATCTCTCTCCTTTGCGGCGCAGAGCTGCTGAACTGTCTTTGGATGCTAGCCAGGCGTTGTTGCGGCCGTGAGGCCATTCTCATGGATGTGCGGAGAGCGGAGGAAGACATGGCTGAATGATGCTACTGACAATGTTCAAAGTATACTCAGAACACGGTGAACACGGACCTCGGGAGAAAGGGACTCTAACAAGACGAAGCGTGAGAACTACATGGCGGCAGCACTTCCGCGGGCAAGCCAAATGCGGGCGGAATGTGGAGGAACCAGGATCCAACTCGTATGCCGAGGTTCGGCAGCACACGGCACCGCCCGGCTTAGTTGTTCCCTTTAGCCCATCTCCTTCCGCTTTCATTCGATGTTAGAACGACATCAAGAGTTACTTCCAAGCCATTTTCATGTCACGCTGGCTCTGAATTTTCAACGCGCATCTCACGTCTCCTTACATGCGACGAAATTATCCTCGTTGACTCTGTTCGCGTGCATTGTCCAACGCAAACACATTCCTCACCTCATCGAACGTGTCACATGTCTGCTGTCAATCATCATCACGCGTCATTACGACGGCCATGCAGTTTGGGCCCCTCTGCACGTTGCGTATATTGAGGCTCAGCTGTGATACAGGACCCGTCTGCCGTTCCGAAGAAGCTGAGCTCGTGGTAATTGTACAAGAAAGTCGTTGATCGAGCACAATCACCTGCACATGACAGTTGACAGGACTGTCGTAGGACACCCGTCTCACGTTTTGTGATATTTTCTCACCACAACAGTATCGACGCGCAATTCTCTTCTGCTCACCGGTCTGCTTCCGTTGGTCACATTTTCATGTCGGCGATTACTGCGTCAAATACATCTTGTCACTTCTGTACCATCCGTCAATTTTTTTTCATTCGTCCTCAGAAAACGCCGCCTTACAAGCACGGATATGTGCACGATTGTACCTGCAGCGCCATCGTAGGACTAAGATTGTTTGAGTATGCTGTCTGTAGTACCGCGCCAAATGAGTGATGTCCTACCTTGCCTTGCCGCTTTTGGGCCCTCCAATCTTGGCGAGCGCGTCATTCCTCACATCCAATGTGGAATCTTTCGGATAGTTGCAGATTTATGGCTTGCTGTCATGGCCTGGGTCGAACACAGATGCATGACTTTGGATAGTAACATTGTACAGATACCAAAGACTCCTAGCTTTGGTTGAAGTTTCGAGCACACAACTGGTAAGAAGCACAAGAGGATTACCGGGGCGTCTTCGCCAGATATAAGAGTAGGTCAATAGCGCGGCTAGAACTGAACCAGGCTCCTACAGTTCAAGTAAGCTTCGTCAGAGTCAGCCGACATACCAACTTCTTTCACTAAATTTCAACGTGATCGCAAGATCTCTACCGTTAAGATGCATATCCCAACCCTCGTCGGGAGTCTCACCTTGACAGCCAACACGGCTTTCGCAGCCTACTCTATTGTCAACAACAAGTGTCACTACCCTGTGTGGGTATCGTCTGTTCAGACCACAAGAAGCGAGCTGCAGAAAATCCAGCCAGGCGACGCGTGGTCGGAAAAACAGAAACTCGCAGAAGACGGCACGGGCGTCAACATCCAGGTAGTCACTTCGGAAGATGCCTTCGGCACCAGCAAACCAATCTTGAATATGCAATACTCTTATGGAGGAGGGCTATGGTACAGCTTGAGCAGTGCAGTCGGTCCCGCCTTTGTGGACGAAAAGGTCCGCATCCACAACACCGATGGTTTGCCTGTGCAGGAAATTGTCTGGATCGATGACCACAGGCCAGAGAACGTCGCGTCCTACCCCAAGGGCGAGGCAAACTTGACGCTCGAGTTGTGCGATGACTTCAAGCGACGCTTCAAGGCCTAGGTGGCGATGCCGAATGGCTAGCAAGAGTATCTATGGTGGACGTGACGGACCAGAGAGAATGCAATTGTTTGGGAAAAGAAAAGTCCAGTGATGGTCGGGGAAGGGCTAGTCAGGTCAGAAGATGGCACATTGCTGTTTTGAGCTTCGCGTATCGCAATATGTAATCCACCTAGATTAGTTGTAACAATTGGCTGTTCTTGTGTGCGAGGTACGCAAGCTGTCCTAACGTCAGTCTTTCCAAACAGTTGTTGCAAAATCCTAGTCCATATCAACTTGAGATAGTTATTGCTCCAGCCTTCCGACGCGTAAAATGGTTATGCAAACTTGGTCTTCAACTTGAATGGTTCCATGTCGGCGAACGGTTCAGAGGTGTGCTAGCGCATTTCTTTCACGCTAGACCCTGTTTGTAATGCAGCAAGTGATGCTAATGCTCGATAGCCGACCCTTCACTCTCGCAAACCACATCCCGCCTGCCGCATCGTTTCGATTTGCACTGCTTTCGTTAAACGTGCATACTTATCTCCTGCGCTCCTAGCGTCATACTGCGTAGTGACTCTAGACTTCTCTACAGCGAACTAAGCGAACCCGAACTCTCGCGCAGCCCTGTGACGACCCTGTCTCAAACAGTCGACACCTCCAGCACCCCCCGAGGGCCTCACCTATCGCCATGGTCCGCAATGGCAGTCCGTCGCCGGCGGACAACTTTCCGCTAGGTCATTCCGCGACATCCCCCCAACCTCAACCTTCGAAGCGCGACAAACGACGCAACATGCTCGCCGAGAAGCTTGCAGAGATGATGGCCACATTCTCCGACAATAGGGACAGCCATTACAGAGCCCAGCTTGCCGCGCTACAAGCCGACATCAACCTGATTATGAAGGCGGATCCATATGCGAACCAGCCGCTCGAAGACGGCGGCGAAGAGGCCACAGAGCTCATCTCGCAAATCATGGGGAACAATGTGCCTACCGCACCAAGCGCCGGTACCGATTACATTGCGCAATGTGGAAAACACTATTCGCGATTTGTAGATGCCGTCAATGATGCGATGGAAGAGCGCGACTACAACCTGACAATGCTCTGGGTGAGTCCCACGGCTTCTGCTGTACTGAGATGAGACGCTAACCACCCATGCCAATCAGAACAAGCACGAGAACACGAAGAACGAGATCGAAAACTCGCACTACTACAAAGTCCAAATCGCCGAAGAAGAGCACAAGCTGCTCGCTGCCACCATCCGCGAACGACTCGTCGCAAGCATACAGCAACGGACAAACAGACTGAAGCGAGAGAAGGAGCAACTGGACCTATCCGACAGCAATGCGATGCTCCTCCACCCCAATCAATTCAGCATAGGGCATCCTGCAAGTCCTGGTGGTCCACAAGCCCCCCGGAAGACTAGGAGAACAGGACACAAATTTGGCGACGCCGAGGATATGGCTGCTGCTACCGAACACAAGCGAAAGCGCAAGCTGTATGAAGACCAGGACAACGATTCCCCGGGTCCTTCTGGTCGCCCTACCGAGATGGGCATCGGCTCACCCTTCCGCGAAGCCAAAGCGCGCACCATCAATGCCCAATTCGAGTCGTCTGCATATTCCCTCGAGCGCTTGTTCAGCGAGAAGGAGCTCAACATGGCTATGAACCAAGCCACCATGGCCGCCTCCCACTTCTTCGCCAAGATGAAGAACACAGAGGCTGCACCGCAGGAAGCCACAACAAACGGCAACACCAATGGCACAAACGGCGACCACGCTTCCGAAAACGGCGACGCCATGGATCAGGATCAAGATTCTGACGACGTGCCCGGCGCGACGGACATGATGCGCCAACACTCGTCGAACCCTCACGCTACCCGCGGCGCCACACGCTCAGCACTGAACCCCACGGCAGCCATAGTCAGCGGACAAATACCCCCATTCATCTACAACCCGCCATTCGTTCTGGATGCCAAGATCTTCCAGAAGATTAACGCCTCAGCACCGCCACCACCTCCTCTTGGCGCACACGACATCGAACAAGATCTGAAGCTGATGCTTAGGGAAGCACCGCCAGACGACGATATCAACGAAAAGCTCCTGCAAGCCGCATGCAACCCCGTCAAAGCGCGCGACTACCAAGTCCAGCCACCTAACTTCTCGGAGCCAGTCCACGAGATGACGAGCGCTCTTAGGAGTACAGCGCCTCATTTAGAGGTGGGCGCAAGCTTAGGTGGTGTTCCGATGAGCGCGCAGAGCAGCATGGCGGGGTGGTCAGACGCTGGTGGAAACACACCGCTGGGACGTTACGGCGACAGAGATTCATTGGCTGTTGGTGGCCACGGTGGCGGTGTTGCGATGACACGGACAGCGAGTGGTAGCGGAAGGGGACGCGGCAGGGGGCGTGCTTAGAAGGTCCGCCGTATACTCTGACGTCCTTCTTCGCTTCCACAATCTGTCTTAGGTTTCGCGATTACGGTTTATATACCCATTATTGGCGTTTTGGTGCGGTGCATGTATGGCGCATTCCTCTTATCGACTTGCGTTATTATCTCTTTCTGCCCACATAGACATTCCAGGAGGAGTTGTCTGTGTATGACGCTTCTTTGAAGCATACCAGAATTGGCTCAGTTGGCTTTACCATGTCTGTAATATAGCATATCAGGATACGAATATAATCAACGCATGGAACTCTGTTAGTGGCGATGAATAATTTGGGATGATTCTCGATAAGCCAAGTACAACTTGATGCAACCTAAAACTATGTCGTGTTGTCTTCGCAAGATGCCTTTCTTCCTTGCGTTCTAGTCGTTCCCTTTTCAGATACAATGCCGCCTTGGGCATCTACCGCAACTTCTTCTCTAGAATACTCACGCCCGCCAAGATGGTCTGACCTCAGAAGCCTAAGGTAGAACTCACTGTCCATCATCCACCTTCGCCGCCAAGATGGTCTGAGGTCGGATGCCTGGGGAGGAACTTGGGCATCCGCCCCATTCATCTGCATCTGCATCTACATCTCAGTCCACCATCAAACACACCTGGACAAGCCTTTCATGGATCTTCAAGTAAGTCATTCCTGGTATCTTTCCGTCAGGCACTACTAACATATGGAAGGCGCAAACATAAAAAAAAGGTGGGTGTAGCTAACATTCTTTCTTTTATTTTCCTTCCTATGATCGTGCCTTTATCAACAACCACTGGATACCACTTCCTCGACCACCACCACGATGCCTACTTCCTGGTCACGATGTTTTGGGATAAAACCCGGACATCCTCCCCATCCACCTGCATCTTCAGTCATCCATCTTCACGAGTACACCCTGACAAGAGCTTCCATGGAACTATCCTACACAAGCCTCGCCACCTTTATCTTGTCTTGCATATGGTCTTGCCTCATCCATGATGCTTGGGTTAATCCTCACTTTCGGCTTACGTTCGCTACTATGGATGTTCTCGCAGCCGTATACTTCCTCGCCCGCATCTGCTTCGCTCCTGGAATATGGGCTCAGCTCCAGTCGCCAACTCCGTCAACTCTTGCCTTTTTCAAGAACCTACCCCGACGCATACCTCGCGATGTTTGGGGTATATATGTTGTCATCCTGGAAATGGATGGTGCATGCCCTTACATTTATGTCGGCGCCGGCACTGCATTCAAAGGGGGGGGGGCCTATACCGTACCCGTGACTACTGGACGCAATCAGAGTTACCATGGAACGTCAGGAAATTTTCTGGTGGTGGCTACTACATATGCCTAGATTCTTCGAGTAAGTTTAGAGATACCCTACCCAGATGGTATTCACTGGGTTTAGCAGCGTTCGTTGGGGATGTAGGAAGCGATGTATACTTCTGGCTATGTTTTACCTTTAGGCACAGTCCAAAGAAACTCAACCTCCAAGTTGCACCCAAATTGTACCCTGAAGGTATTCGCTATGTTTGACATGAACACATTACAATACAACAAGTAGTGTATACCTTTAGAGTACACTATGGACACCTCGAGCAGAGCAAACGCAAGACGGTAATGACGAAGGTGTTGCGACGACTCAACCGTTGGGCTCTGTCCGCCGATCGCAATGGTTGAAAAAATCTTGGACATCTGGAAGCTACTTGAAACTACCCGTGGTTGCCATGGGCGGCATGACATATGGACCCGCTGATGGCGGGGCATTCGCTTATGTCACCGTTTTCAGACGATGGTGGGGGAGGGTTCCGTCATAGGCTCCCATCGGCCAGCGCCCTTTGCGGCGGCGAAAGAAGAGGCAAGAACATTCAAGCAAAAAGGCGTTGGTACCAACACGCAGGCGGTACAATCGGCGCACTGTGGATCCCTGGTGACAAGAAACTAGGTATTTGCCCCCGGAAAGCGTGCAAGGCAGCTGTTTCTAGTGGGTCGCAGAGCTTGCGCGAGCTTGCGGGAAGGTTCTGGTTGGTTGCTTGGCACGTCGAAGGCGCTGGAATTCTGTAGAAACACCACGCATCCAGCGATACAAAAACTTCGTCCGCCCGCGCCTTGGGACTGTTTCTTCTTCCACTACACACATCAAACCTCACTACACTGCGAAAGCCTCACCTTTATAAGTCACCGACTTGTGAGCATTTTACGAACTTTTCTTTACCTTTGATACCCCACCACACATACACATCGACATCATGGCACCCGCGATTGGTATCGATCTTGGAACTACCTACTCCTGTGTAGGTATCTTCCGTGATGACCGCATTGAGATTATCGCCAACGACCAGGGTAACCGGACAACACCTTCGTAAGTCATACCACTGCCTACCTGCAACAAAAAACACCATGTACTAACGCATCCAGGTTCGTTGCCTTCACTGACACCGAGCGTCTCATTGGTGACTCCGCAAAGAACCAAGTCGCCATGAACCCCGTCAACACCGTCTTCGACGCAAAGCGCCTCATCGGTCGCAAGTTCGCCGACGCTGAGGTCCAGGCCGACATGAAGCACTTCCCCTTCAAGGTTATCGACAAGGGCGGCAAGCCAGTCATCCAGGTCGAGTTCAAGGGCGAGGAGAAGACTTTCACACCTGAGGAGATCTCATCCATGGTCTTGACCAAGATGAGGGAGACTGCTGAGTCCTACCTCGGTGGCACCGTTAACAACGCTGTCGTCACTGTTCCCGCATACTTCAACGACTCGCAACGTCAGGCCACCAAGGATGCTGGTCTCATTGCCGGCCTCAACGTCCTCCGTATCATCAACGAGCCTACTGCCGCTGCCATCGCCTACGGTCTTGACAAGAAGACTGAGGGTGAGCGCAACGTCCTCATCTTCGACTTGGGTGGTGGTACCTTCGATGTGTCTCTCTTGACTATCGAGGAGGGTATCTTCGAGGTCAAGTCCACTGCCGGTGACACTCACTTGGGTGGTGAGGACTTCGACAACCGTCTTGTCAACCACTTCACCAACGAATTCAAGAGGAAACACAAGAAGGTATGTAACCCAGATTTTGAACCGCTACCGCAGATGCTAACTACCCGCAGGACCTCACCTCCAATGCTCGTGCTCTCCGTCGTCTCCGAACCGCTTGCGAAAGGGCCAAGCGCACTCTGTCCTCTTCCGCTCAGACCTCCATCGAGATCGACTCCTTGTACGAGGGTATCGACTTCTACACCAGCATCACCCGTGCTCGTTTCGAAGAGCTCTGCCAGGACCTCTTCCGCTCCACCATGGAGCCCGTCGAGCGTGTCCTCCGCGATGCTAAGATCGACAAGTCCTCCGTCCACGAGATCGTCTTGGTCGGTGGATCCACCCGTATCCCCAAGGTCCAGAAGATGGTCTCCGACTTCTTCAACGGCAAGGAGCCCAACAAGTCCATCAACCCCGACGAGGCCGTCGCCTACGGTGCTGCCGTCCAGGCTGCTATCCTGTCTGGTGACACATCCTCCAAGTCCACCTCCGAGATCCTCCTTCTCGACGTCGCGCCGCTTTCCATCGGTATTGAGACCGCTGGTGGTGTCATGACTGCTCTCATCAAGCGCAACACCACCATCCCTACCAAGAAGTCCGAGGTCTTCTCGACCTTCAGCGACAACCAGCCCGGTGTGCTCATCCAGGTCTACGAGGGTGAGCGTGCTCGCACCAAGGACAACAACCTGCTCGGAAAATTCGAGCTTACCGGCATCCCACCTGCTCCTCGTGGTGTTCCTCAAATCGAGGTCACCTTCGATGTTGACGCCAACGGTATCATCAACGTCTCCGCCCTCGAGAAGGGTACCGGAAAGACCAACAAGATTGTCATCACCAACGACAAGGGCCGTCTCTCCAAGGAGGAGATCGAGCGCATGTTGGCTGAAGCCGAGAAGTACAAGGCTGAGGACGAGGCAGAGGCTGCCCGTATCTCTGCTAAGAACGCTCTCGAGTCCTACGCTTACTCGCTCCGCAACACTCTCTCCGACTCCAAGGTCGACGAGAAGCTTGATGCTGGCGACAAGCAGAAGCTCACTGCCGAGATTGACAAGACCGTTCAGTGGTTGGACGACAACCAGACCGCTACCAAGGACGAGTACGAGTCTCAGCAGAAGGAGCTTGAGGGTGTTGCCAACCCCATCATGATGAAGTTCTACGGAGCTGGTGGTGAGGGTGGCATGCCCGGCGGTATGCCCGGTGGCGGCATGCCCGGTGGCGCCCCCGGTGGTGCCGGCGGTGATGACGGCCCAACCGTCGAGGAGGTCGACTAAGCGGATCGCTTCACTGCAGTCTCTTGTCTTCCTTTCCTTGTGCATCTTCAAGCATAGACTTCTTTTCCATGGGTGGTAGTTCACGGAGTTTCACGGCCAATTAATTGAGCCAGTTTCATGGTTTCTTCTTATGCATCGGATGAATAACGATCAACGATTGGGAGGAAAAGTTAGGTGGTGTCAGCATGTACTCTAATAGTGGGATAGTTCTATATCCTGTGTAGAGAATTGAGAGAATACTTCAAACAATTGGTCTGACTTGCTTTGTGATGTTTGGGACGATGGAAGAAGAGGTGCAATTTGGAAGATGTTCATGATATGTCTTGACTTGAAACCAAATCCTAAAGGCATACAGGTTGTTTTTGTGCTTAACATAGATGACACAGAAGTCAACGTGTAAATTTAGGATGAAGTTTAGCAGATCTTTGATCTTAACCTGAAACTAAATCCCGAAGGTATACAGAGTTTTTTTTTTTGTTTGAGGTGGGTAATACAGATGCCTGTGTATACATTTAGGGTCGAGTTTAGTAGATGTTATGTCTTAACCTAAAACTAAACTCTAAAGGTATACAGGGTATTTTTGTGTTTGAAATAAGTGATGCAGAAGTCAATGTATACCTTTAAGGTGGAGTTTAGCAGACCTGGGGCTATGCAGGCACAGCCCAATGCAAGAGGGTGTACATGGTCAAGACACATCTGGTGGAGCAAATGGGGCTGAGCTTAGAAGGCAACAGCGTGAGCGAGATCGACAATATCAATATCGCTATCAACGCCAGCTCAGGAAGAATGCATCCCCGGAACTCAAGGCTCGGATGCGCATCCATAATGCGAAACAGAGGCCCAAGACCTTACTCGGTGAGCAAAGGGATAAAGCAGCTTTCAAACATTACTGCGACATCTGCAAAGTCAACTCTCGCAACGCAGCCGATCAACGAAAGCACTTGTCTGGGGATACTCATGAAGCTATTGTTCAGATGGGTGGCGCAGATCACGACGGATGGTTTAGCTGTCCAACTTGTCCTGGAAAACGCTTTCAAACATCTAGAGCTTTCGGTCGACATATCAAGAGCAAAGCCCATGTGGGATCATGGTTGCTCAGTTTCATCAGATCGTTTTATTCAAGTGCTAACACCCACTCAGATCTGACCTCCACAGGATGTGGCTTGGTTTGAAACTAAATCTGAAGTATACACGGTATTTGGCGTTTGAGATAGGCGCTACAGAAGTCAGCGTATGCCTTCAGGGTGGAGTGACAACAATGTGTATAGATGCTTGATGCTATGCTATCTGAGGGTATCATGACTATTGTACATGTTGCGACTTGCGCAACAACTCTAACCTCCCTGCGGCTCAAAATGTAATCTCATCGACAAATACCATGAAGATTTTCCCCTTGTCGTCACCAAAAGAATTGGGTACCCTCCAGGGATTCCTATCCCTTGAGCGGGTATACGACCTGGCAAAACTACCTTCTTGACGTATACCAAGCGCTTGCGTCTCAGTGTTCTGCATGTGTGAACCCATTGTCTACCTTCAGGATCTACTCTGGCATATGCCAGGACCCATCATGCACCTAACTCCTCCGCACTCTTACTAAATGCTCCCTTGACCTCCTCTCCAGGTCCTCTCTTCCTCCAAACGTCTTCACTATTCGGGCCACTCTTTACCCTCTCCTCCTTCTCGCGATACCGATCCTGAATCATCCTCTCCTTGACGTCCTGGCCGCTATAACTATTCTTGGTGCGCATGCAGAACCAGAAATCGTTCCAGTGGTCGGAGCAACTGCGCAGTTGTCCGTAACGGTATATGTCGTTGAAGTGGCCGCCCAGCGAGGAGCAGTAGAAGGCGCTGTCGAAGGCTGCGCGGCAGGACATGGAGCGTGGAAGGGTGGGGTCGAATTCCTCAGGGGCATCGGGGGCAGAGGAGTTTTGCGAGGTTGACGAGGACGATGTGCTGTTTGTGGAGAGAGAGGGTGGTGCGAGGTGTGGGTGGGCGGCGTAGAAGTCGGGATCGTTGGGGGCGGAGGCAGGTTGATGCTCTATGGTTTGCGTCGGTACATGGTCGGGTTTTTGTATCGGAGCTGAGGTAGTGGATATGGTTTGTGGTTGTTGCTTTGCAGAGGCATCTGTGCCGGAGCTCGAGAAGGGCCAGACCATTGTGAGATGTGTAGAGAACTTGTCGTGGTATAAAGGACGCGCCGTGCAGGAGCTTGGCTGTATTGGTCGAGGTGGGGAGTATAACGTGAATTATCGAAAGTCGAAATCGCGACAAAGTTCTGGCCAATGTGCTGCTGATGGCAATTGAACAATTGGGCAAGGCTAGTATGCTGGTATGTAGGCCCAGATGGATCCGCGGAGGCTTGGAGGCGTGGGCAGAAATTCAAGAAATGCGCAATGGAAATGGCACTTCCGGCGAATCAAACAAGAGACGGCCCGCACACGTGAGCGGGAAGACTATGCGCTACGTCATGCATCGCCCTTGTAGCTGCCTTGGAGATCACTTCCACTCCACCTTTACGCGTCCTGTGCGTCGTCTAATTCCTGGCGGGTTACTGTGCTGTCTGCTGTCTTTGAGTTTGTATTCTATTCTCGACACTCCCTGCGGCCTGCTTCCACCGCCGCTTCGGTAATACTCCACGCAGCACAACACTCAGACCTGTGCCTTACCCGCCCCACCTTGTGTTTACCTACCACAATTGCCCCAATCGCGGCATCTACCCGTTGACGGCCGTTCCCTATGAATCCACACAGTTCTACGACATAACGATCCCCCTCCGACCCCGATATACCCTATACCCCACTTACCTACTCACCCACCTACGCTTCGACGCCCGGCCTGGGTAACGGTCGCCCACCGCCACCATGCTCGAGGGACTCGTGTCAACATTGCTGAATCGGTTCTTGGGCATGTATGTCCAGAACTTCGATCCAAAGCAATTAAATGTCGGCATCTGGTCTGGCGACGTCAAGCTGCGAGATCTCGAACTTCGTCGAGAAGCCCTTGATCAGCTACGCCTACCGCTGAACGTCGTCGAAGGACATCTTGGCTCGCTCACACTATCCATACCCTGGTCGAATCTACGAGGGAAGCCGCTAAAGGTCAACATTGAAGATGTGTTCCTACTTGCCGCGCCCAAGGAAGATGCAGACTACGACGCAGAAGAGGAGGACAAGCGTGCGCATGCTGTCAAGATGGAGAAGCTCGACAGTGCGGAGCTGCTGAAGGAGCGCAACACAGAAGGCATGAGCGCAGAAGAGCAGCAGAAGAACCAGAGCTTCACCGCGAGCTTGATTACTGCCATCGTCGACAACGTTCAGGTCACCGTCAAGAACATTCACATCCGATACGAAGACTCCATCGCCGACCCCGGACACCCATTCGCCCTTGGTGTCACCCTCGCAGACTTCAGTGCTATCAGCACTGACGAGAACTGGAAGCCTACCTTCATCCAAGGTACATCGGCCTCGACGCACAAGCTGGCCACGCTGGGCTCGTTGGCGGTATACTGGGACACGGATGCGAAGCTGATTGGTACTGGCAAGGGCAGTCAGAGTAGCGAGGAGCAGCAAATCGACCGAGCAGACTTCATTGAGCGTGCCAAGGGCATGATTGCAAGAGGCGACAACCCAGATCTCGGCGATCACCAGTTCATCCTCAAGCCCATCAGTGGTCGCGCTGGCTTAGAGATGGACAAGACTGGCAAAATGGATGTGGCCAAGATGAAGGCTCGACTTCTGTTTGACGAGCTTGGTTTCATCATTGACGAGGATCAATACCGCGATGCACTCATGCTAGTCGACCTGTTCCACTACTTTATCCGCCACCAAGAGTACAAGAAGCTGCAACCAAAGTCATCACCTAAGGAGGATCCTGCTGGTTGGCTTCGGTTTGCCGGTAAGGCTGTGCTTGACAAGATCCATGAGAAGAACCGACAATGGAGCTGGGATTACTTCAAAGAGCGCCGCGACGACCGTATACGGTACATTGAACTTTTCAAGAAGAAGAAACGCGATGAGAAGCTTGATGCTACTGAGGCCGAAGACCTGGATAAGCTCGAGCGAAAGCTGAAATACGAGGACCTCCGCTTCTGGCGCTCTTTGGCACGGAATGAACTACGCAAGGAGAGTGTTGCGATACCGAAACCGCCGCCCAAGCAAACGTGGTCTTCTTGGGTATGGGGAAGCAAAAAGGAAGAACATCACGACGACGAGAACACTCAGATGAGCGAGCAACAGAGGAAGGAGCTCTACGATGCCATCGACTGGGACGAGAAGAAGGCTATTACTGAGTCGGTGGATATGCCTCGCGAACACGTCAAGCTAGAGGTCAATATGAGCTTGCGAACTGGCAGCTTCACACTCAAGCGCGATCCCCATGGCAAATCCAACGAGATCCTCCGGCTGCTCTTTGACTCCTTCAGTACTCAGTTCCTGCAACGTACGGATTCCATGTTCGTCAAAGTCGCGCTCGAGGGTATGCGCCTTTACGACGGTACAACCGAGGGTAGCCTCTTTCCCCAGATCATCACAGTCAAGGATGCACCGCCTGTTCCGGACGACAAGCGCATTGAAGAGCTCAACGATGATGAGTCGCCCAAGGACGAAGATGAAGATGAAGACGGTGAGGACAAAGAAGACCCATTCTTCTTCCTCACTTTCGAGAACAACCCACTGGATGGAGCGGCCGACACAAACCTTACCATGAAGCTGAAGGGCATGGAGTTCGTTTACAACCCCAGGTTCGTGGTGGAGGTAGCCAAATTCTTCAAGCCTCCAGAAAGACACATGGAGTCTATCGGCGCGCTCATGGAGACCGCTGGAGCGACTGTTGAAGGCATTCGGCAGCAAACACGCGCAGGCCTGGAGTTCGCGCTTACCGAACACAAGACTATTAACGCGCAGCTCGATCTTCAAGCGCCGCTCATTATCGTGCCAGATTCCGTCACAAAGAAGTCAAGCAACTGTCTCATCGTCGATGCTGGTCATGTGAGCGTAACGAGCGAACTTGTCGACAAGGACACTCTTCGTGATATTCAGGCAAAGCAAAAGCAGAAGTACACTGATGAAGATTTCCGCAAATTGGAGAAGCTCATGTATGACAAATTCGATCTGAAGCTCCACTCAACACAGGTACTCATAGGACCATCTATCGAAGAGACCCGCGCACAGCTCGACAAAGATTCTAGCTTGAAGAACTACCACATCGTTGACCGGATTAATATGGACTTCAAGATCGAGATATGCATTGTTCCAAAGGCGTCAGATCTCACCAAGTTCCGTGTCTCCGGAAACCTGCCGGTGCTCCATGCCTCTGTGTCAGATTCCAAATACAAGAACCTGATGAAACTGATTGACGTAGCTATCCCAAAGTTTGGCAATGACGGACCCAGCAAGCAAATAACCGAGGGCGCGAAGGGCCCAGCAAATCTAAAGCCTACAAGCGACGCCAAGGCTGATTCAGATCCTCTTGGGCGGTCGCGCTCAAAGTCGTTTGCGTTTTCCGCGCAAGAGCATGAGCTGGTTATGGAAGAAGAAGGTCATGATGGGGACAAGGACGAGAAGTTCTCTGACGCCCCAGAGATCCGAGACGAAAAGAAAGAGGCCCATCTGCATCAGCGCAACTTCGAATTCAAGTTTACAGTCGACAAGCTTCAGGGTTCATTGTACAGAGCAGATCCAGAAGGGAGGAAGTCTGATCAGCTACTGGTTGAGCTCATTGCTGAGAGCTTTGATCTCGACTTTTACCAGGAGGCTTTCGAGATGGCTGCGGACGTTCGTCTGAAGAGCTTGGCTGTTGAGGACCATGTCGAGGAGTCTACTCTCCCTGAGTTCAAGAACATCATTTCTTCAGAGGACGTGTCAGCGGACGAACAGAAGGATCTGTTCTCACTCAAGTTCGTCAAAGTGAACAAAGAGTCTCCGGAGTTCCAGACCAAGTACGAGGGTATTGCTACCAACTTGGATGTGGCTGTCTCAACGATCAACCTGATAGTAACCAGGCGGACATTACTCACGTTGCTGGACTTCGTCCTCGATACCTTCACCAATCCGGGTCAACCGCAAAATCAGCAAGCTCAGATAACCGACAAGGAAGAACAGCAGCCGGTTGCTAACCAAACTCAAGCGGAGCCCGACAAGATACGCATTCGAGCAGAGCTCAAGCGCATTGCTGTTGTTTTGAACAACGACGGCATACGTCTGGCTACACTGAGTTTGAACTCAGGAGATGTGGGCATCTTCCTTAGCGGCAAGACAATGCGCATTGGTGGACGTCTTGGAAATTTGTCGCTCATCGATGATATCAATCAAGGTGTCTCTGAGGAGTCATCGCTCCGTCAATTGGTCACTATCGAGGGCAAGAACCTGGCCGATTTTAGCTATGAGACCTTCGATCCAGATGCGGAGAGCTATCCTGGGTACGACATGGCTGTCGCACTGAAAACAGGCTCTATCAAGATCAACTTCCTTACAGAGCCTTTCCGTAAGATCATGGAGTTTGCCGTCAAGTTCGGTAAGATGCAGGCAATTTTCAATGCAGCTCGTCAGGCTGCGGCAAACCAAGCAACACAGGTACAGCAACGAGCTACCAAGTTCCATTTTGACATCACAATCGCCACGCCTATTGTTGTGTTCCCACGTATGGTAGTGTCCGATAAACCAGATCGTGACACTCTTACTGCAAATCTGGGAGAGATCTACGCAAAGAACAGCTTCGTGCCTCTTGATGATTCCAAGGGTGCAGAGACCGCGAACAAGCTGTCGGCCGGTATCCGCAACATCAAGCTTACGTCGAAGTTGCACTATGATGAGAATCGTTCAGAAGAACTGCAGCTGATTGACAAGGTTGATCTCGACTTCAACATTACCATGGTCGAGCATAAAGCAGGTCAGCAGCGCCCGGATCTCGAGATCGATGGTAATATGTCAAACATCAACCTACAACTCACACCGGAGCAAATGAAGTTCGCGCTAGAACTGTCGCGCTCAATACCCGCAGCATTTGCCACCGAGTCGGACGCCATCGATCAAGACGTGCAGGCTGAACTACCGAAGGAGACGACGGAACCTGCGCGCCGATTAACCGATAAGGATGATGGAAAATCAGAGCCCTCTAAGGATGTAGTTACTTCACAAGGACCTGAACTGCACTCTGCTGA